AGAGTAATTAATCTGTTGGAGAAACTAAGACCAGCTTGTTCTGCTTTCTATTCTCCTAGCAATTTCTGTCATATTCAGAAATCTTTGCAATAAGAACAATAAATTTGAAACGAGTGACAGACACTAATTGTTTGTGACCTTATTGTCATCTGTGTCATTGAACAGGGTATGACTGATCCCAGTGTACCAGCTGTAGATCTTTTAGTCTAAAAATGTAAAGAAAAGACATCTTTAAAAATTGCAGCTCATGGGGCACTGCCACTGCTGTTCCACCTCTGCCCATCACTGTTGCAGAGCTGAGTCAGATGGCAGTGGGATTTCTGTCAGCCCTTTGTCATGGCAAGAGCCTCAGGGTGACATGAACAGCATCGCTGCCTTCCCTGCCCACAGCAGCTTCACAGGCTGTGGGAAAATGGATCCTAGTCACAGCCACAGGGAGACAAGTCATAGGAGGAGGATCTGGAAGTCTGCAGCAAGGTTAAAAAGAAGGAAAAAATGGAGAAGTTTTGCTGTCTGATCTGCTTTTGTAAGAACCCAGGTATATGCTGCAGTTTGAACCAGAGACATTTTTCCATCTGTCTTTTTTAGGTTTTGCACTGCTCTCCATCACTGTAGGACCTGAACGCACAGCATATAAAATCAATAGCAATTGTCTCACTGCCCAGCTGCAGTATTTTCAGAAATGCACCCATTTCCCTGCTGTTCCAGTAGGTGAGACCCTTGGGAATGAATTCTCCCGTGAGCAGCCCCTGAAGCCTGGCTTTTCATTGAGCAGGGCACAAATAACTTCACTTAAATTCCTGTGCTTGGGAACCCAGCTCCACTTCCTATGGGAGCACTGTTGTGGTGTTCTGTGTTCTGTGGTGTTCATGGTTAGCATCATGAAGAACTAGAATATAAGGCTTGGGAGCAAAGTAGGTGAAGCAGTTGTCATTATGCATGCTTTGGAAGGCTGTCTAATTCTCATAAGAAAAACTGAAAGCAAACTGCTTGATGCTTCTGCTCTGTTGAAAGTTTCATTCTCCTCTTTCTTATGCCTTAAAGATGCAAGTGTTTTGTTCTGTAAACTGCAAGAACTTGTAGTATAAAGAATAAAGTTTTAGCTGTTTGAGCTGCTGGAATTAAATCATTGCTTGAAGTCAAATGAGCACACCACATCTTGGAGTTCCTTTCATCAAAGCAGGTCAGTTAACTTTAATGAAGTCATCTTCAATTTGCTTTGATGTAACATCAGAACCCAGCCCAAATGATTCTAAGCGATCAGCAAATAAATTTCCACATTGCAGTCTTTCAGGGACGTAGCTTAATGAAGTGTCTGGTTTTCTGGGTTCTTTAACTTCTAAAGTGCCTAATTTGACTTGCTTTTAATAAGGCCTGTTTGTGGTTTTGGGGGGGAAACTGCTGACTTTTCATTGGAAACGGAGCCCTCTTTAAGATGCCATATGTTAGACAAGTAAAACAGAGGCATGCGGCATCACTAATTGCTATTAGTGTTGTAAGTCTGAGACTGTGCAATGCAGGAAGATTAGGCTGCAGATTAGGTTTTTCCTTTGGGGAGAGAAGAGATTTAGAGTCTCAAATACATAATTTCTGTAATGACTTGAGTGAGGACTACTTGTCAGGCTAGAGATTACAATCTTAGATCCTTCTCTTTTAAAGCAACAGATGTTAAATAGCAAATCTGGTCAAAGGGCCCTATGTCCTCTCATCCTAAACTGAAATAAAAGGAAGAAACACAATGAAGCTCCATAAAATGCGTTCAGAAATATTTAGTGCCAGAATGTGCTTCATATAGTAACTTCAAAGGAATTCTGTAATGTAAAATCAGTAACTGTAACACAGTTCTTGAAGAGTTTTTCAACTCAAATCATGTCTGTGTTTCTCTGCTTTTCTGGAAGAAAATTGTTCATTAGAAAGGACACAGGCCTTAAATACCCCCAAATTTCACATGCCTTTTTTTCTTTTTTTTTTTTTTGCTTACAGCTTTCTCCCTTCGCATGACCCAATTGGAGACATGATTATATCAATCCCTAATTGTAAGCCTCCCTTGTGCTAGTTTCTCTCTCTCCCTTCAGACTGCAGAAATGTATTACTAGCTGCAGACTGATCACTACTGTAAATGTAGACGCCATAATATTTGTAATAGTTGAAACAGAACCAGTCAGGGCTACACTAGAAGATTGCAGCTGGAGTCATAAGTCCCGTTCAGATGCAGTATGCACATTTGTGATTCCTAATAAGTGGTGACTCAACATTGGGCTATGATTTGGATTTGTATCTCAGACTGGACTGTTGCCAGTGTAAGTCAGCAGCAATCTTTGGCTTGTGAGCCAGACTCAGACTCAAACCTCTTGACAAAGGTTTGGTACTGTGCTGTTTTTCTGTTTACATATGAAAGGAGAAATCAGCTTTTAGCTGGGCAGTGATTCGTGTGGCCACCCTAAGATCACTATAAAGGCTCTTGTCCCTGCTGCTTTTGCACAGAGGAGCGTGGCTAAGCCAAGTATGCAAAGACTTTCCAAATACTTCTGCATATACCTGAAGAACATTTCCATCAATCCGAGTGTAGCACAGAGGCATAAATGAAAACTGAAGAGAAGCCTGAAATAATTGTAATTATCTTACAGAAACTGTGAGCTGACTTTTTTTTAATTTTTGATGTTCGGTCCACAAAGTGGCTTGCATTACTAATTCCTTGTGATTTTTATTTTATTTATTTCTTTATTTTGCCAGAAGGATCATGGGCTGGAATAGGCACCGTGCCATCCTGCTGGCTCACCTCAGTCTATCTGAACTGATTTTCTTGCATTCTTGTACATTTTGAGACAGGTTTTGAACAGTTTCCTACTTGTCTTTTGGATTAGCTCATCCCTTACTGGAGAAAAATATGTTTGAGAAAGGAAGACAGCATCGCTGGCCTGTTTTGCATTATTGAATGTTGGGGGATGAGTCATCGAAGGTTGCCCAAAATCCCAGTTTTGGGACTGTGACTGACTGAAGAAAAGAGATGTATGCTGATTAGATGTTCCGTTGCCTTGAGCATACCTTTCATTTTCACTGGTTTTGTTTCACTTAAAGCTTTGAAGAAGTTTGTTGTTGACTAAACATCAGTATCTCAATCCCAGTAGTTCGGTTCTTTGGTCTTCTCTCTCTGTGTCCCAGCAATATGAAACTCTATCAAAAGATGCTGCTGTGAAGCTTCGTCTTTCTGCTTTCCCCTCCTGCCTGAGTGGCCTGTGGGGTTCCTGCTCATACCTCTGTTTGATCTTGCTCACTGGTGAGACCCGGAGCTCACCTCCCACACACACCTGTAATGAGACCATGGCTACATCAGCTTCTTGTTTTCCTTTCTTTTCAATGATTCATTGGGTTTGAATGCTTAGAGCTCTCTGAATTTTTCAAAAGCTTGACCATGCCAAGGATATTTTTCTGTAGGGCTTCATTTTTTTTTCCTTCTTTTGTCCTGCTGAGACAGTTGATCCTTTCAGCATATTACAATGAGGAACATGAAGGAGACATCAAAAACATAAATATGAGGGTCAAGTCCTGACCTGGGACCACTGATTGCAGTACGATGTGTGCATTTTAGGAGGCAATGTGTGACATTCAGCTGGTAGTTCATGTTCAGGCAGACTGTTTGTGTGTTGCACTTAACCTTAGCAGGAGATTTTATCACAAGCATCTATAGTAGAAAATGTTAACTTTATCTGCTCAAACCACAAATGAGCCTCTGCTTCTCCGTTCTGTCCTTCTGTAATTAAGCAGAGATGATGACAAAGCTTTAGCAAATGAGAGCTGTCTTAGCAATGAGATAAAAGAGAAATTCCCATACGAGGGCTAACTTGTAACAGACCTTACTTGACTTGGAGAAGCCAGTCCTAGCTTTGTACTATCGTGTTTGTCTGTTACTAGCAAGCGTTGACAGTTTTTCTTCTCTATTTCTCTTTAGTTGTTTATTTGAAATACTGACATATTCATCTTGGAAAATTCTTGATTTGAAATACGTTGAGCAGGTCAAACTCCGTTTTGCTCTGCACTGTAAACGGTTTGGAGGTTATTTACACAATTCTGTATGGTATCCCCAAGACTATTATAAATAACTTTTTAGCTTATGACAACTTGTTGATAGTCAGCCTTTCGGGAAGGAAAGCTTTGACGTGAAACATGGGATATTTGAGGAGCTTATTTATCAGAATTCAACACCTAATTAAATAACTGTTACCATGGAAGAGGTTCTTGGTGATGTGATTGTATGGGTATTTTTTTAGTGCCTGTTTCATTTTGTTTTAAATGTATTTTTGAGCTAAGCAGTAATATATTAGCATACGAAATCTAACAAATGGATTGTTGACTGGCTAATGCCTTAGCACTAAGCAGTGCAGGGTTAATCATTTTAGCTCGTGTGTCCAAACGTTGTGATCCTAGAAGCTTTGTGGAGCTGAATATCTGCACACGATATACATGGTCCATTTGACGTAGTTCTGAGGGGCAGAGGAAATCCAAAGCAATTTGTGGAGCTGTATCAGAGTACACTGGGAAAGGGTCTGGCCTCAGTTCACATGTGAATGACTTGCTTTTTCACCCCATATTCCTTTTCCAACTCTTCTGAGTATTTGACCTCTTACTCTGAGATCTCATTTTGTGGATTTCCAGTGTAGATGTAGTGAGATGAAATCAAGGATAATTAGGCATTTTGAGATGTTTGGAAACAAGATTCCTGTTTTCAGGGAATTATCTGGGAAAAAGGGGAAACTGAAAGCTGATAATTAGTTCTTTATAGTTTGCTCATTAGCAATTATGCAGTAATAACGCAAGGTGTGTTGATATGAACTCTGGCTTGAAAAGCTGAGGAAAATTTCCACAGAGCCAAGAAGCATTTAGAGATTTTGGGTTTTATGGGAGTTCAGATCTTGTTCTCTAAAACTTCTGTGGGAGCAGAAGAGGTTAGATGTATGTTCTTGGATAATTGTTTGTCTTTTTTTTTTTTAACTTCTATTTAGGCCTTGCAAAGCCTATGGGATTAGTTGAAGGTCCAGGAGGCTTGGGCCAGGGGGGAATGGCTGCTACCCTAAGAGACGATAGCCATGAATCGGAGACTAAATATGAAGAATATGGTTACAATGCCCAGCTCAGTGACAGGATATCTCTCGACAGGTCCATCCCTGACTACAGACCAAAAAAGTAAGTTGAATTCCATGTTGTTATTAGAGCAAATGATTGTTTTTCTTTGGACTCTTGATGACAATTGATTTCTCCCATCCCTTTCCAGTTAGTCTGCCAACATTTAGTCATACACATACCCTTGAGTTTAGTGAAAATTAAAATGACCAGCTGCCATCTCAAGCATGAAGTGTTGTGTCAAAAACAACAGCAAATCAACTGCCTCTTCTTTAACTGCACTTGATGTTCTTAGAAGTGTTTAGTCAGGGTCTGCAGTGCACTGAAACATAGACTAAATATAATCCACAAAGGTCTTGTGATTGCAGTGAGATTTTTTTTTAGTTTCTGGAGTATGTGTACATTTTTATTCTAGTATTACAATCTCCATATGCCTGTGTTAAATTTGGAATTATGTGTTTATTATATGTAATGGTTTATTATATTTTGCATTAGATGTCCTTATAATCTTCCATATTGTGGAGTTATGCATCTTCCAGATGTGACATCCTCTCTGTCAGCCAATGAATGACAATCAGTAATGTCTTAATGCTGAGAAAATCAGCAGCAATGCCTAGCTACTCTCAGGAGACAGAACTGAAAAGAATACTTAATTAATTTCTAATAATAATCTTCTGTTTTAAAAAACCCACTGGGGCTCCTAGGCAGAACTGAAAGTTAAATAAAAAAGTATCGTATTAAGCAGAGAGAAAAGTTTAGCCAAGCAAAACAGCTGTGCTCTGTGTGTGGATCGCAATAGAATTAGGATTTTAGGCAGCTCAAGCTGCCAAAAACAAAATCCAGCAAAACAAAACTTCATCTTAACCACAAATTTCATTAGCTGTGTTACATATTAATCTAATCTCAGTAGTATTGACTCAGCATTTGTTTTCTCAGATACTTGCTGTACAAAAGAAAACCTAGATCAAAGAGGTGGTGAAGAGAAGGGAAAAAAAAAATGCTGCTTTGATGTCACATTTGGTCAATGTATCATAAAAATGTGTAATGAAATTATCCTGGAAAAAAAGGTAGACTGCGATCATCATGCAAATGTTTGAGTTGCACATCAGATTCTGGTTCAAAGTCCCTTAAAAGCAATATGAATTTTTTCAAGTAAACGTCAGTGAGGTTTGACCAGGCCTGTTGTTAGCTGCTGGTCAGGTGGGTGATAAATTAGAATGATCTGCCTGGAAATATAAAAACGAAAGCTGCAAAGTTTGAATCTAGCTTAACAGCTCTTAGAAGCATGTGAGCATTCACAGCGCAGTGATGTTTGACTTTAGATCGTGCTCTTCCACAGTTGAAAGCATTTATGATTCTTTCAGCTAAGCTTTTTGATATGGTAATCTCATAAGGCAGTGCTGCATGCATAACTGTCTGAGTTATGAAGAACTGCCTTCCTTGTGGTGTTCCAACATTCTTTAGATGATTTTGGTTAGACCCAGATTCTGGAATAGTGTCTTATGGGTGGCAGGGTAATTGCTATGAAAAATGAGTTTGGGGAAGGTAGAAGCTCTTACATGAAGTGCTGATTTTGTATTTTTGTTGTTAGTCAGTTTGCTTTTGTCTCTGACACCTTCAGATGTGCAGATAGTAAAATACAGGGTCTGTAATGTTGAACTCAGTTTTCTCTCCCTTCTTGTGCCATGTATTGGCATGCCAGAGTAATCAACCTCTTCTTATCCAACGTGTCCTATAATGCTACTTCCAGCTGTGCTCCATAGCCACAGGGCAAACCTGAGCCTGACTTTGGTTTGGGAAATAGCTGTGGGGAAACCAATGTGTCCATCCTTATATGGACAGCAGCTTCTCAGTCTGCTTGTGATTTATGCTTATGTTGTTCCCAGTATTTTCCATCTTTAACAAGAAAGCACTTTTCTTTCTTCAGTTGAGAAGCAAGGTAGAATTGATGGCCAAGGCGATGTACAGAGTCCATGGCGAGTCTCTGAAGAAAACCAGACTAAAATACATGCGTATAGATTTGTCTGGATTTCGTAGACACAACTTAGGAAAGTAAACATGATTTTACTATACAAATATAGGACTTGTAATATTCCAGGTTTAATCTTGTTTTAGAATAAATTTGATCATGAATTACACCTTTTGGTTCATTTTATCTTTGAACTCTTAGTTTATCTTTGACTTATTTTTTTCCAGTATTTCATTCTGGTAGAATGAGCATTTTCTCCCATCTTCTAGCATATATTCAGTAAACGTTTGGAAGTGTGATTGGTTTTCAGGAGGTATTTTCGTCCCCACTCAGCAAATTGAAAGTACATTAGGCTACACAGGGAGTGTGACTGTGAAGGTCCCTAAATTGGAGTCACCGCCATGTCCTTCCACTGCAGTAAAGTCTGCAAGCCTGTGTGGGCAATGCTGTGCCCAAATGCTTTTCCCATAAACCGCCGCTGGTTTCTGCCTTCCTATCTGCTGCCAGCTCAAATATAACTGCGCTCAGAATGCTTCTCTTTGAGACGAGAATCGTTAAATCGGTAGCAGATTTTGTGCTGTGTTTGAAGCAATGACAGTAAATATCTTGCTTGCAATTACAATTCACATAATAATTGCAAAATGATAGTTTGATCCAAACGTGGTGTAATAAATGTCTCAGCTTTTTCTTCTCTATTGCACCTCCCACAGTTTGAATGCTTGCCCTGTCTCTCTGCAGAGAGCAGTCAACCCTGGGGAAAGCAGTTCAAAAACATACTGTGATTTGATATTTCAAGCTGTTTAGTTTCAAGAGACATGTAATATATAGAAATTGCAATTTTGCTATATAAAACAATGCAAAACCTCTCCAACAGTTTGTGAGTATATTCAATGTGACCTTGAACAGTATTTTCATTCCATGTTGGATTTCACATGAATAGAATGTGCTGGTATCAAAGTTGTGCTGATTTTTTAGCAGGTTTTTTAATTCTCAAGTAACTTTTTGCCTTGAAGCAGCTGAGTGCTGTGCTGCTGAGCTCAGGAAAGATGCAAAGACCAAGCAGCAGGAATGAAAGGTGTTTGAGTTCAGTGTGGAGCAGAATATTCAGGATTTCTTATGGCTGACGAATGGGTATTTACACACATTCAGCTAATAACCCTAGAATTGGACTGACTTGAGATTTTTCACTTTGTTCAGATATCTTTCTGATCTGTTAAAATACATAAAAATAACTGTGAAATAGTGGTCCAGTCACTACTGACTGTTACTATGTAAATTTTGGAGTAAATTTTCCAGAAGTACTTATGAAGTACCTCAGAAGACTTTTGCGTGATTATTTTTGCTACAAGGGAATTGTTAGCACTTGTGATGGGATTACTTCCTCTGTCATACAGGCACATAGGAAGGAATAGGTTATTTTCCCCTGGCAACACATGGCTAAGCCAGGGCGTGCTCTCTGACTCTCCAGGTTATTCAGTGGTCAAACGTTATTGGATTCAATTCCATTTATGTTTTTGATAGTAAAAATGAGGGTTGTGATGGCATGAACCTGAGTGCTGTATTGGCTAATGGCCCCAACACATATGCATGGGAAAGCATAAGCACACGTATCTGTATCAGCTGACTTTACTGACGTGTGTAGCTGTAGAATAGCCTGGAATCCTGTCCAAGGACATTCTGTGAAACCTGCTAGGCTGTGTGTGCATCCTCCTTACTATGATGTCAAAGGACGAGTGTTTGACTGAATGGCCAAAAGTAAGTCTGGAGCAACACAGCCAAGATTTAGATAGAAATCTCACACTTAAGCTGAAGTGCCCGGCATCAACCACCCAAATCCCTGCTGAGTTGTTTGACTTCAAGTGACTTAATTTGTTGGGGTTGCTGAGAGGGAAAAGAAGAGCAGGTTTAGCTGGAGTACGCTGGACTGCTACAGCAGATCCAGGAGCAGCCATAGCCATCCTTCTGCCTTTCTGGGTATAACAGCCTTCACTGCTGCAGCACAAAATACAGGTCTGTGCTCCTGTAACAAGAGATCGCACTCAAACCTTCCCAGCCATGCATAAAGATAGAGGTGCTGCAGTTCTGTATATGGCAGTAAATTTTTGACATTATCAAGGATTAAGAATACAGAAGTCAGAATCCTATGGAATTTCTTACAAAGACATGGAGGGAAAAGGCTCTCAAGCTTGCAAACACAGTTTATTTTGCAATGTGGCATCCTGGTAAATTGGGAAGTGTCAGATAACTGAGTGCTTCAAATGTAAGCATCATCTCCCAAGAGAACATCAACTCCTGTGTTCTTTTTGATATAGAAGGGTGGATTGCAAGAGGTTGAATGAAACAGGGTGAACACCTGTAAATCCAGCCTTCTCTAACTTCCTAACATTTGACTTTACAATTCAAATAACTGTGGGGTTTCTCTGCATGCCAAACACATCCACACACATGCACACGTGCACTTGTCAAAACCACTTGCTGTGATGCATTACGCGTACTTTTGAGGAAAGCTAATATGATCCTGGGGCTTCCATAAGGGCTGAATTGGTTTTGACAAGAAATTGTCGCTTGCTGGAGATCTTCAGTGTAACTGATCTCTTCTGTGCAACTCGATGCCAAGAGCACTGTGGCAGTTCAGTGATAACAATAATACTAATAAATGGATTCAGTCTGCTGGCTCTATCAGCCAAAGAAAATATTTCTTTGTGTTATGGTCATGGATGTTTGTACTGAGAAAATTCAACCCTAAAGAGCAAACTTATTAATGCTGAGGCAACTCAAGTCTTTAGCCATAAAAAGCAGAGGAATCTAGGTCTCAAGGAAATTACTTTCATTTATTCAGTCCTTGTATAGAGGCAGGCGTTTCGTGGCTTGCTATAGAGTTTCACAATAGAAAAAGAATTGCATCTCTGGGGCTCTGAAGTGTAATTAATGGTTCACTCCACACTATAACTAAGGAAAAGCTTTTTTAATTACCTATCAGAAAGGATTCTGGAATTGATCAAATAGTGCTATCAAGGGGCAGACTTGGTAAATAGACATCTGATTTGTTCATTCAAGGGTTTAATAACCGCAGCTCGTCTGAGGCCAGCAGATA